TACATACACATATTGTTACATACATTCATTCATGGCTATTACACACACACACACTCTGACCAAGATAAATGGTTGGAGAATGGATTTATGGATGTATAGTGTGACTGACCATGGTGGCTGGGTAATTAGGGTCCCTGCTCATTGTGTGATGTACATCTCTAGGGCGGTGTTTGCTCCCTCCTGCCTGGCCCACACGTTGATCACTAAAAGGTAAGGACATCTGAAACGGCCTGAGGACTGCACTAACATATGCTGCTCCATCTCTGCAGGATGAACTCATGCTCCTGTTTATGGAGGCTCATTCATCACCCCACATTCTATCTGTCATTGGGTGCCATGTCACACTTTCACTCTCCCCATTTGGGACCAAGCCTGACTCCCTCCTGCCTAGAGGGGTGGGGGGTAGGGCTGGCATGGGGGCCAGAGTCGAGGACTGGGGGGTATATGGTTAAGTGAGGTCAAAGGTGATGTGGTGTAGAGCTTGCTGTGAGGTCAGGAAAAGTTTAAGGTAGGCAGTTTTGTCATGCAGTGCAGAAGTGTGAGGTTGCATGCAGGGCTGATTCACAAGTGGACTTTGAGAGAATAAAAACAAATTGCAGTGAAGTCTGAACAGTGGTGCTGACTTACTGTCCTCTGCTGTCTCTACACAGTAACTGGATGGATTTTCAAGTTAAAGGGACCTCACTTACACGAGCTCTGCAGTGCTGGGATAAGAGTCTGCAGGAGTCCAACCGTAACAGCAAGACCACCATCAAGGGCTGCCCCTTTAACCTGATCGACAGTTGCCAGTGGCCGCAGTGCAATCCCACATGCCCTGCCCTAGTGGACCAGGCCACCAACCAGGAGCTCACCCTGCTCCAGGTGTTGGCCTCCATGGGTCTGGACCTGCAGAAGTTGGGCCTAAACCTGAAGCAGGAGGGTAGCCACCTGACCGGCATGGTCAGTAATGGAGGCTAGGGGGTGCATTAGCTCCATGGCATTGTGAAGGAATGAGTAGTGATGTAAACATGATGCGGAGATCTCAGTCTGGTACTCAGTTGTGCCACCAAGCATTCCATTGCTCCACTGAAAACTGGTGTTCGGACCCGTGGGAATTCCTCTGGGATCCTGGGCTCAGTTTTCCCGGGCTTTCCATCTGCTTAAAGGGCTAGCTGTCTCTCTCTGACACCTGCGTGCCTGTAATTAGTTCTCAGACATTCAGATAGATTTGCTCCTTTATGCTGCACAGTATTCGGTTTGAAGAGATGGCTCAGTAATTTCAGCTTTTAGGGTTTTCCAGTGAAACCTTTCAGTTTTCATAAGTTGCCATGGGTCACTTTTAGGAGGTTGCCAGATCAAGTTTGGAGCCGTAATGATGAGGCACATGTGGCTAGCCTAGTTCTAGGATGAAAGCTGGCAAAGTTACCTGATACCTGGCTGGCTGAAGCTCACACAGCAGTCAGCTGCACTGCTGTAAATGAATCTGCAGCCTTTTGACAACCCTAAATTGACACTGTCACCTGCCATTATTTGTTAGTAATAGTAATAGTGATACTTTATGCATCACTGTGGGTAAATTAGGTAGTTTTTGCATGTTCCACCTTGCTCTCCATGAAAGACACAGACAAATAAACCCTATAATGTGGCAAATTCATGCAAACATACACACATACAAACACACACACACAACGTGGCTTCAAATGGTTCAGCTGTTATTGCTATGTGTAGTCATAATAGGGGCTACAAAATCAGATTAATAATGTTATTGAGTTAATTTGATTTCATTTCCCAGATGGAGAAATTACAGTATAGGTTATATTATAGTGTTAATATTTAGAGTATCAGCAAAGGGTCATGGTGATAATCATGGGTATTTTATTTTTTAAAATGCTTAAAATATTTTAAAGTGTGCACAGTACCAGTTTCTTTCTTTGTGTTGCTGTTTTAGCAGTCAATTTTTCAGCTCTGAATGTAACACATTTCTGAATTTGTTTTAAAACAAAATAGTACTCATTAACAATATGACAAATGAGTCAAGGACACATCCGTTTTTTTTATTTGATGTGAAATTATCAACTTTATCTAAATCATCTAAAATTCTTAGTGCCATTTTATATAACCTATATATCTGTTATAAAGGTCAAGTATTTATTGTTATTCAGTAACTTGATTTGCTGCTTTTAGCATAAATGTTGTTTATTGTATTATTAAATATTATTGGATGTATTAAGTACAAAAACAAAGTAAAAAGGAAACTCCACAATGCCATCATGTGTATTTAATGTCGCAAGCATTCTCCTATTAACTGGAACCTCCTTGGAATTTCTGTTTTCACTAGAGGGCGCACTTTGATAGGTTTTGGCTTAGATTGTGTTTGTCGCTTGGTGTAGAGAAAAGTCCATTAAAGACTATTTTTGTGAAACCAAAATAACCAGCAGTAATTACATCCATCCAGGTCAGGGCTGCAGGGACCAGTAGTAGTTGTGTCCAGCATTATATTAAATGAACGTGACTACAGATATTTATAGAATGTTTTAGGTGTCATTTAGAGACCTTTTGGAGCTGAAGGTCACAGGTAATGTGAACACTAGCCCAAATAAAAGTCAGTCTGTAACACTAGGTAGGACAGATGCATTACTTACTAGTGTTACAAAACATTTCGCATCCCCAAAAACAGCATGGGAACCTCGGATACTGTATTATCAATTAAGCTTTCAGTCGTTCTCAATAATAATTAAACACATCCATCCATTAATTACCAGTGACTTTTCTAGTTTCTGAAAATGGCAAAATACTAAATCAGACCAAAGATTCCTATTGGTAGCAAACTGTTAAAGACCCCATCAATGTCCAAAAACGTAAGAAGGGCGAAGGAGCCAGGGAGAACTGGGGACATGCACTTTCCAATATTTAATTTGGCTTCACTCGCGTGTGTAGCAGTAAGTCAACTTTCTTTTTTCACTTAGTAACAACATGTTAAAACACGACAAACCCAGTGCGTTTTACGCTATAAGACATAATGCAGTGCCGACATATGTACTTGCTAGCTAGCTATTTTGCTCTCACCCACGGCTACTGAAGACATGACCCAAGGCAGCGTCACGTTAACGGACTACAACTTTTCTCACCTGTCCTAAATAAAGCTGAAAGTTCTGTGCATTTATCTGCATCCTCCTCCAGCGCATTTTCTTCGGTTTATCCCTGCTTTCTCAGCATCACCTTTTTCCATTCCTTCCAGTTTGCCGTCCATTGCAAAATGCCGTTTGTAAGGATATGCAGATCGATACTGAAATATCGTTTCTTTCGATTAGAATTGTTTCACTTTAAAATTCGGTTCTAACTTAAAAGTGTCCATTTTATCTAGTAGTTCAAATGTCTATATTATTATAGGGAGCACGACTTAAACTTCTGGGAGGAAGAGAAAGGAGGATACCCGGGAACCCCCGCCTGTCATTCGCCTGCGGCATCTGTGTATGTTAACTAGTTATCAGTTTATCACATTCAAAGTAGAGTCCACTCTTCCACAAAGCGGCACAGCCCCCACGCAATCTGGGGAAAACGCATAAATTTTCTGGTCTTGGCGAGCGAAGCTGGCGCCCAGCGGGTTTGGGGGAGGGGGGAGTTCACCGCGAGATATTGCGCGAGAGGCTGCCGGTAACGCGCGTGGCGTCCTCCAGACCTGCATAATGCACAGATTCTTGAGTTACTATACTCCCCCAAAAATCGCATTTAATTTCTTATGCAGAAGGGTCGACTGTATTTATTTATACTAATTATGTATATAGGATAATATTAGTTTATCCACTGAATTTTCTTATATAGGCCTACAGTACATGTTGTCGCTGTCGGGCGGAATATCCAACCATATTGATTATAATGAACACAGACTGAACTTTTTTGCGAAGGCCTTTAAAATGTGTCTGTTTTTTATTATATATTTTGTATTTTTTGCAGACAGAGTTTGGTGGCATGATAATACAGGCCAACCCACAACTACCAGTTACTTACTTTAAAATTATATTAATTATTTTGACATGTTGAATTCCTGCCATTTTAGGTCTATTTAATCTTATACATGCCATATACAGCACAGTATACACATTTTTAAGAGTTAAACTTAATTGAAATAATACCACAGTAGTATTGTACCTAAACCACCCACTTTCTAAGTTGTCATTATCTAACTGACGGACAAGCTGCGATTCAACAGCCATGAATGACGGATATTCAAGCATGTCGACTGATATTGAATTCACATGAGGTGAATAAGAGGTAAATGAGATAAAATAAACAGATTTCTATTCACAGCCACCCACTGTTTCCTATATTGCCTGAATATTATGTCCTAAATTAAGGATTAATTCTTTTATGCTATTTGGTTTTAATAGACGTGCTTCATTCATTTTGCTGCAATGAATCAGTAAGAGAGCATAAGCTTGAGAGTTCTTTTCTTCCTTTATTATTTAAATAAAAGTCTTTAAGTGTTTAACTCGCACCCAAAGATCCAGATGAATTCATTTGAGTGCGCTTGCTGTCCTGTAGCTGGACCAGTAAAAACAGCCTGGCTTATTGCAGGCACTTCATGGAGGTTACAGGTCAATTCACAGATCATTGCTTCCTACATACAGGCTTTAATGTTATAGAATGTGAAATCTAGATAATCGGAATCTATTTTAATCTCTTTAAAGTCTTTGTTTTAAAATTTGATTGAATTATTTTTTTTTGCATGAGCAACATAAATTAATTCCTGTGCAAAACTTTTTGAAAACTTAACCATCTTTTTTTTTCTCATGAGAATTATTTCTTTATCTATGTCATCTTTCTTGTTCTTTAAAGCAATTTGTCTAATCCTGTCTCTTTAAGAGGAGTGAGGGGCGGGAACTCTGTGCCTTGGCTGTAGGTTCAGCGCCCGACTCTCCAGCTGAGATTTTTCTGTTATGAGTTTGGTATTTCCTCTGGGTACGCAGACAGAAGGCCCACATCGGGTCCTCTCTGCTGTGAGAAGAGGGCCGTTTTAAATTCTGGATGTTCTGGATGTTGTGAAAGAGGATCGTGGGCCCAGGCAGAGTGAGTCTCCGGAGCGACATCATGGGTTAGTGCACACTCGTGCGCCGTTCCGGCAGCCAGCATGACTGTATACACACTGAATCTCAGGGTCTTCTGGCCCCTGGTTACCTTCCTCCTCACTGGCCTTCTGTTGCTGCTACACAGATCTCTACACAGGGGCCCAGACTCTTCCCCCGCAGACTGCCCCGACAAAGCCTTAGGGCCTCTCTTACTCGCCTTATTTGCGCTGGGTTTCATTCTCCGCTACTTCTTCAAATATTGCTTTTCTCGACGAAGGAGGAACAAGCGGGTCTTCCGGGAGCTTCCCGAGGTGACTTGTCGAGTGGCCCCCTGCAGGAAGGAGCAGCTGGAGAGTTACTATGAGCGGCACGTGCGCTTGTCCCCGCACGTCCTCGGACACGGCAAGGCGCATGTGACCAAGCTGGTCAGCGAGCTGGTGAGGGCTGGTCGTACTGAGAAGCCTCCCGAAGCATCCTTTGCCTTCAGGGGAGACTTTGTGCAGATCGGCAGCTGTTATGAGGAACACAAGGTGAGCCGTCCGGACTGCTTTGACATCCTGGTCCCTCTGCACCTACCTCGTGGCCTGAAGGTGGCGCTGGTGACCCTTTCGTGTAGAGAGGGTGGGATGCTGCCTCTCTGTAGTCTGGAGACTCCCCGAGCTTCTGCCTGGTTGCGTGAGCACAGGGCCTTCGCTGGGAGCTTCCTGAGATTGAGTGGGACAGGCGGAGCATACAGGCTATCCCCAGGTGCTGTCCTCCACTGGTTCTACCTGGCAATTCAGCGCTGCCTTGCCGCTGTGCGCCAGCCTTTCGAGTGGCACTGTTCCCTGGGCCTGTCGCTGTGTAACTCCCGTGTCATGCTACGCCTCACACCACTCTCTGACTACGTGTGCTGCCACATCTGCATGGGTGTGCGCCTCATCCCCGCGGTGCCGCTGGCAGACGGCTCCTACCTGGTCGGCTCTGTGTGCGGCCCCCAGCAGGGGGAGCTCTGGACTCCATACTTTCCCCGTCAGGAGCAGAGGCTGCTGGGCTGGCTGAGGAGCCGGCTTCCAGCCAGATCCTGCCACCTGAAGTGTCTGCAGATGATAAAGGCTCTGAGGGACCTTGGAGGGCAGGCTCTGGACAGCCATGGTGGGGGAGAGTGGAGGGAGGTCCTGTCGTCATACGCGCTCAAGACGGCATGGCTGCGCCTTTTGCTCACAGTGCCCCCGGAGGCGTGGAGGGACCACTGCTTTCTGGACAGACTTGAGGACCTTCTGCAGAACCTGAAGGAGAGCCTACGTCAGCGGGAACTGAGACACATGTTCCTTGGGGGCGACACAGAGCTGCTGCCCAGCTTCCTCACCTTACCTAAGATGTTCAGGGACTCTGCTCCGTCCAACCTCTTAGTGGGCTTCCACCCCACGTCCCTCGACTCGGTTTGTGCCCACCTTTCCTATTTCTGGGCACACCTGCCTTGGTTTATTCATCTAGGCCAGTGCCCACCAACTGCTGGACTCCGGTCCGCATCAAGGCCAAAATACAGTTGAATCCCAATAGAGAACTGCTCAGTGACAACGCCCTTACTGAAATATGGCTTAGGGCTTGTTTCTTTACAGGGATCAAGGTCAGTGCTGGCACTTTTACAGCAGAACTCATTCGCTACAGCAAGGTTGCTGCTTGAGCAGCTGTCACTGGATGCTGGTAGCACTGCAGGGACATCGTGTCCGGAAGCCCTTGTGGTTGTTCTCAGGAACCGCGGGAGCAGCCTTCTGTGTTTCCGTCAGGAGACCCGGTGCTGAAGGGGAGTGGGAAAAACCTCCTTAGAGCTATCAAATGAAATCCTGGGCTGTCATGTGCTGTTAAACTGGAATTAAATTGTGACAGTGTTAAAAGTTGGAAGTCACAAATTCACATTATATCTATTATTTGCAAAGCAAAATTATTTGCTGCTCCTCTTAAGTAATAATAAAAATATAGCATCGTTCAAAGTGTCAGACCTTTTCATTATCACAGCCTTGAAGGGCCACAGGTGCCATTTCGTACCCTTAATGGGTGACATTTAACACCTTTAGTTCGGGAGAAGCCTTGTTGTTTTTGTGACAATGAAGCGGCTTATGCTGCACGATTGGGGCTAGCAGGAGGCAGGCTTGTGAGAAAGCCGCATTTCCTGTCTGGAGGCCGTGAGAATGTGCAAATATTCAGCAGAGACCAGCCACGACTGGAACAGGGCAGGGATATTTCCATCTCAAGGACAGGGCATTTTTCATGAACTGCGAGTGCCACTAGATATTTGTGCAAGTTTCATGTGACACGATATGGTCTCATGTGGTCCTTGTCTTTGCTGGTAGTGGTACACATGGGACCTGGCTTACATCAACAAATAGTTTGCAGCTGTGATGTGTACTGTGATGTGTACTGACTGAACTGTCATAGACTAGCGTCCCCTTTGGGTGCTCACTGTATTATTCCAAAGATTGGCTCCAGGTCCCCGTAACTCTAATGGGACAACAAGATGCTGAATATAGGGAGATAAAACGTTTCCTTCTCTATTTCAAACATAAAAAACAGTGTGGAACACTGTAGTTAGAACAGCATTCGATAAATTTTTGGCTACCAAACAGATCCTTAAAAATAATTGTTCCTGTTTCTAAAGTAGAAACATGCAATCTTTTTTGGAAATAATGAGAAAATTAAATGTTCTATTTTGCATATTATGGTCAAGGAGAGATTATCTGTGTGCAGGGGGGTACAAACCACTACAGGCTGGACAGAGGAAAGGGAGATGTAGGGAAGAGATGTGTCATCGGAGTAAGAATATGTTAGAGGCGAACAGGAACATGACAGTAGGAACAAGACTATTTTAGTGGAATGAAGAGGAATGTCACTATTAATAAGAAGAAATTATTCCGAGGAAGATCAATAGGATGATCTTACTGATGTTAATGTTGCATTTTCCATACTAAGATTCACACATTAAAGTCCTTTAAACCCACTTAACATGAATAAACTGAATTTAATTGTTATACAACTATTGTGGTATTTATTATGGAACAGTGGTAACAGTTCATGCAGTGCAGTGCAATAATTTATTTATATAGTTTTATTATTGCATTATATATGTAAAATATTCATTCTTCATGCTAATTGACTCATGAGATGAGTTACTTTGTTTGTAGATTCAGAGGTTCCTGCCTTAGCCAGGTGTTTTTAAGAGAGACCATGGCAAATTTCAAGGAGAAACTGTTCTTTGTCCTTTTGAATGTTCTTCCACCATGGTACATATTTGTTTACTGCCTCTGCAATAAAGCTTTATATTCATTTACGTCAGTTATTATTTAAGATGTATCATTAATTAATTTAATTAAACACACTATTGTTATCTATTGCTTTTAATCTTCTTGTTCAGCCAAATTTTTGGTGTGTTTCTCCACTCATACTTTTCGAGATATCGGCCACAAACAACAGTAGAAAAGTAAGTTGTGAGACTCCCTATGAACCTTAGTTACCACCTATTTCACATGGCAACACCCTGCAAGACCTGCCTGCTGCTGTGTAGCAATCACACGCTCATTTTCTTCAGGAAATGCACTTTTTTAACTAAATTCACTGGTTTAGGAGCAGCCCTCTCTGAATCCAGCTACTAACAGAATAGCATGGGTAGCAGCAACCACGGATACAGTTAAAAACCCGCACCAAAAGGTGTACGAGAAACAGCCTGGCAGTGCAGAGAAAAGATGGAAGAGAACTGGATGACCAGATAAGAGCATGTGTTTGTGAGGACACCGTGACTCTTTAGGCCCGTGGGGGGACTGTGAGCCACAGTACGGTGATCCCCGTCTGTGAAGGGCAATGATAGGGAAGAGAGGTTTAAAACTGGGAGAAGAGAAAAAGAAATAAGGCACTCACCTGGTGGGGACGTGGGAGGTGCTGGAGGCACTCACCTAGTGTGAGGTGGGAGGTGCTGGAGGCACTCACCTA